AGCACTTTACAAAGTTACATACCGCCAATGCAAAGTGAAATAAGGGAATGAAAATAGTCCAGAGCTCAAGCAAGAGATATATTTGCTCCCTGTCAGCTCTCCAGCGAGAGTGAGATCGGACGTTGAAGTTTCGTCCATATACACGTGGAGAGGATGGGGTGGAGGGAGATAAGTGCAAAGGTGGTTTAGACTATCTGGCGTCTTTTGACAAAGGGATCCCCGCTTGACCGAGACGGCGTTTCCGGGAGATAGACACCGCGCGAAGGCGCGAGTTGAAAGTCTAGGAAATCAGCCCAGGTGGTCAGGTGGATATCAAGGGGAGATTATCAGAGCTCGGCCAAATCAAGGGAGATTATACATTGATAATAGCTAGTGCTAGACGAACAGCGTTGCCCGAGGCGTTGAGTTGAATGGGCACTTTGAAGTGAGCAGCCGCTCCCGGAAGGGGGGGGGGGTCAACGGATGTTTGCCAAGATAGATGGAGGGAGTGTACTCTTGTCAAGAGTCTAGTGTGGCGCGTGTCAAGGTGGGGATAGTAAAATGTGACATCGATGCCAAAGGGGTGGGGTTGGATTGGAGGGTGGTGGCTGTGTTTTTAGCACTTGATCGCTAAATTAATAAAATTGATGATTAATAGCGTGCAAATAAATTAATTAAATGCTTAGACCTGAGTGATACCTTGAGTGAGCTAAAACGGTTCGTCACAGCTAGTCTTTTCGATTTTCCCGAATAAGACTATGATGGATGAGTCTCTGTGAGCGATCTTCCAACTCCATTTTAGTACAATATATATTATATTAACTCACTCTGTCTCGTAAAAGTGTGTACGCGTTATTTCTGCCACATCCAATCTCGAATCAGACAGAAATCTTGCACAATTATTTCTTTCACCTGACAAAACAAAAGTTAATATAATATAATTTAAGAAATTAGTTAATTAACTATTGATAATTAATTATTTTGTTTGGTATCTCGAACAAGGGAAAGAAATTGTACTTGACTGATAAGCTGGTATAATTTGTAATAATTACATGACTGATTCAAACTAATTGATAAAACAACGCTTAACTCTTTCTCTCCGTAATTCTGGTGGAATCAACGCTGGTATCGTCAGTTAGGAGAGAAAGAGTTAAGATAAGCTTTGTGTTTAAAAAAGTATTGTTTATGTCTAACTTGTTATTATATATGACCCAGAAGTATTTGAAGTATTTACATGTGTCCCTTCAGTTGTAGAAAGAAAACCTTCAAATTTAAACCACTGCTGCCGTACAGCTAGACTCAAGCATTGGAAAGGCGTTGGGAGTCTACCATGAGGTAAAATCAGGAGCCGGTTGCAGCACACTTTGTGACTTCGATGCTCCCAAAGTGTGTCGGCTCCTGAGGACACATCAGCGGCGTGTAGAGGGGACATGTGTGGGCGACATCATTTCAACCATAGCTAATTCCTAACTTTTCATCATATTTCTGTTATATGGTCCATAGTAACTAGCGACTGCAGAAGAAGGCCATAGACTTCCTCAGGCCATAGACTTCAAGAATTTGTGTTTAAAAAAAATCATCAGAGATGACAGCGAGCTGGATACCAATTCGCAACTATAATGGAAATATTGTCAAGTGTTTTTCTAATAGAATACAACCTTCATTCAAGACCTGTATTGTACCTGCATTTAAAGTGTTAGATGCTTAGTTGCAATATGAATAACCTGTGCTAGTAATGGCTAGTATTTTACATCTAAAAAGTCATAAAATAATTTAATAATTGATTTTAATAGTTATTTCTCTTATATTGTCTATTTTTGACCACGTTTTCTGTTGAATTTATTTACAAATATTGGAGACTTTCTTAAACGGAAACGACTCTTTAAAATAGTTAGTTTTATATACACGCATTTGTAATAAACGAAATTGGACCACTATATTATTAATAGAGAAAGGATGATTTGCATATGTTTAAAAGAGAAATGATAGTTACTGGAAAAAGGTGAAAACAAGTTGATTTAAACGAGTTGAGAGAAACATCTTTGAATATCTAGATTATAAGCATATTGGGCCCTGATTGATGCATGCACGTACTGAATCACTGACATTTCACTAATTTTTAAAATCAACAATGCAAGCAGGGTTTTTTTTTTTTTTTTTTTTTTTCATAAAAAATACACCGTTTTTACAACTATTCACTATTAATAGTAACAAACACGGGAGGCTATTTATAAGTAGTTTCCCATATCATCGCGTGAACAGCAGAGCCCAGCCTTGCTTATGGAACACCTAACTAATGTAATTTTTTTTAACGGAAATGTTGTATTTTTTAATTCTTGAATAAGAGATTAACCCTTTACAAAAAAATCAGATCAACTAGATAATCATTATAATGACATCGTTTTAGCCAGGATCACACTGAAGTTCCATGGCATGAACAACTCCGATTGACGGACTTGGACTTTACTGATAATGTTACACTACTCGGGCTACAAATAAATGCATTCAAGAAATGACGGAGAGCCTAGACAGAGAGGCACCCAAAATTGGCCTCCGCATAAACTTGGATACGACTAAAATTATGCGAGTGGGATATAAGGCAAAGGGTGTCCCCGTCAAACCTGGCGAGTCAAAGCTTAAAGAGTTGGACAAGTTCACGTACCTTGGCAGCATCATAACAAATGATGGAGATGCTTACCATGATGTAGCGTGCCGAATAGGAAAGGCAGGGAGATTTTCCAAAGGCTGCAGCCTATTTGGACTAGCCAAGCCATTGGACTCGAGACAAAAATACACCTTCTCAACACAATCGTCATTCCAACTGCTACATATGCATGTAAGACGTGGAAGTCATCTGTCGAAATTGAGAAAAGACTAAATGTGGCTCAACAGAGATGGCTGAGACGGATTTTGGGAGTCAGTTACACAGATCGGGTCTCAAACAAGGAAATCCTATGCCGAACTGGGAGTCGAACACTTGGTGAGGTTGTGACTGAGCGTCGCATGAGGTTTGCGGGACATGTTCTACGTCAAAATGAATTACGCACTCCAAGAGTTGCGATAACATGGAAGCCAAAACGAGGAAAGCGCAAACAGGGACGTCCTCATATTACTTGGCGACACACCTTCATGGAGGACCTCAGAACAGTGGGAGGAGTCTTCAGACATTGCCAGTGACAGATCTTTATGGTACAAGCTTGCCACCCAATGCGCCGAACGGCTCGGGAGGACCAAAGTTTAAGTAAGTCTAAGTCTAAGTCACACTGAAGTTTACCTTCACTTTCACCTGGACTGAGCTTTAAACCTTTTTTCACCATTCTTCAGTCATTTGTCTTTGATTGAATTTTAATCTGATATACTTTCTGAAAATATTTGAACCTGCCTTTTTACCTGCCTGGGTGGAACACTTCGGGGGCCGACTTTGAGTTTGTGTTTCTACACAAACTGCCTTTTTAACCTTGTATATTATACTAATACTATAAGTATTAAGAAAAAAAAGAGTTTATTTGTTATGAAGAAGGATTTCAGGCTTCTATTCAACTATGTTCGTCGATTTTCTACATACGCCTACAATGGTATATTGGATTAGTTATCTGGAGCAACATCTCAACGTCTTGCCAAACGACTAGCAACTACAGAGGCCGAAAACCTGACCGGACCACCAACTACATTTATCGCTTCCTGATCGCTTTTTATTAACTCATTGATGCATCGTCCCCCCCCCCTCCACCCCACCCCTCCCACATCGACAGCACCAGAGGGATCGTAATAAGCAGTGTGTGTTGCAGTGTGTGTACTTTGTGTGGTGTATGTGGGGGGGTACAAGGGAAATGCAAATCTGATTAGAGAGCGACAAAAATATGTTGAAAAAAGAGAGAGAGAGGGGGGGGGGGGGAGGTTGGCCAGGGGGGGGGGGCGATAGGTTGTTAAGAATAAACAAGGCGAAATAGAGGAGGGGGGTTTGTTCTTCTTGTTTTGTTTTACTAGCTGGTCGTATATCAAGTAAAAAGTGATGCTATCACCGTGGCACGTGCTGCCTTTCCCAGGCCTCTTGTTCGTTGAAAGACCAGGTCTTTATGTTGAATTAACTCCCTTACACTAGGTCATAAAAGACTGGATCGTTGTCTGATTATCTCTCCTAGAAAATTTTTTTTTTTATTCAAAATGTCATCTTTTTATTGGATTTTAAACTCGCACTGTAAAGGATTTTTTTTTCCTTGGGAGAAGTTCGTAAAATGTCTTTGAACATTCATGTAGTTTTGTGAATGTTAAAAAAAAATGTTTTCGGTATGTTTTGATGTTGATTGTAACCTTATCATTCGGTGACATTTGCTTTGTTCTACCTTTAGTAAAACTTGTGTAAATTGTCACTAATTAGAATTATTCCCATTGAAGATTATCAAGGTCTTAACCTAACAGCAGGGGTCAGAGTTCGAATTTGGGACTGAAGACGTTAACTTTCACCTGTGCTTTTTTTCGTAAAAAAAAACAGTGATTAGGTGCCGGTACTCAGTGATGGATTGCCTAACTTTTAACTACTAATACATTAATAATAAACGTTAAAATACAAGAAAAGTGATGATTATTTCTCCACATTGAAAAAGGTGCCGGTACGCCGTACCGGTGGGTACCGTCACAAAAAAGCACTGACCTTCACTTATCCCTTAGCTTGTTAAACCGTTGGGGCATCACACATGACCTGTCGAACATCTTTCTCCATTCTTCTGTCTTTTGCATTGATAAGAATAGTACAGTCAACAGCAGGCAGACAGAGAAAGCGATGGGAGGACAACGTTAAAGAATGGACGGGCCTGCCATTTAAAGAGGTTCTAACTAAGGCAAAAGACAGGGAGGAATGGAGAAAGACGGTCGACGAGTCTTGCTTGGTGCGCAACGGTCCAACAGACTAAGGGATAGAGGAGGAGTAGAATCTCTTTTATATGACAAGCCCATCCATTCTCTTGTCTTTTTTATCGCTTTCTCTGTTTGCCTCTTCTTTATTTTCTTCCTGGTACTGTTCCCTGAAGAAAGATTTCTACAAACCTTGTGACATGGCCATAAAGTCTCAGTTTCCGTTTTTTTTTTGTTACAGTGTTTAGAAGGTCATCGTGGGGTCCGTTTGTGATCCTTTTTCTACACTCCTCGTTTGTGATAGGTCTTTGTAGGTGATCAATTCTATTGTTAGAATCCTTCTTTATAGTTCTGCAGTTAGCGTACAAGTTTCGCAAGCATACAATAATGTGGCCATGACCAAGGAGCGCATCAGTTTGATTTTAGTGTCGATGGCTATCCCTTTAATTAAAGAGACTGAGTTTCGCAAGTGCTGCTGTGGGCTGAGGACTAGGCAGCTATGGATATAGAACAGTTTAGATGTTCTAACTACTTTAATACATTCTGTCAGTGATGTCCAAATTAAGTCTCTTGTGCTTATTCCGGCCCTAACGCATTGCTATCCAGCCTTTGTGCCCACATTGCATGACAAAGCCGCTGAAGTTCAATTTCATTAAACTCAACACTTTGCTGTTATGGCGCTGCTTGTGGCAAACTTGTCAGATTTGTATACGTTTCCGAGGGCGAACGAAAATCGGGGTACCTCTGTTGATTGTTTTATCACTTGAATACAATTTTAAGTTTTGAAAAAAAAAAAAGTAACATTTTTTTTTATTTCTTACAGGACTCACACGAAAACAGTTATCTATACGCCTAGTTTATAGCCCTAGTTCGGCCTGTCCAGTTGAAACCCATCTCGTGGTCATCATGGAACTGACCACATGGACTATTAAGGCTGATCATTCAAAGAAAAATTTCAAGATTTTAATTTTTTTTTATTTTAGACTGTATTTAGATTGTCTTTGAATTATATCTTCTTTTGCACTTCAATTGACATGAGCAGAAATATTTGAAACAAACAGGTGTCTAATTACAAACAAAAATATTATTTACAGACAAATATGAAACAATTTTGTTCTTTGTTGTTTGAATTTTTTTTCTTTATGGTGATGGCTGATATTGTTGATTACTAATGTCGATATACAATTTGAATTTTTTTTTTGTTTTGTTAATCTTATCTGAGTTTTGTACTATTGTGTTAGACACCTTTTTTTTAAAGTTCCCCCCCCCCCCCCCCCCAAATGTGTTTCTTTATTTAACAAAAAAAAAATATATTTAATAAAAGACTTGATAAATGATAAAGCGAGTGACAAAATTGTTATTTAGATTTTAGCAGTTCGGGATTTTTAGTTATTCGTTTTATTTGATTTCTTTGTGCGGCTGTATATAAATCTATAAACATAAATATAATTTTAGGAATATATAAACTCAAATCGTGTTCATGTTATGTGTTGACGAAAAGCAACAGCAAACAAAAAAAAAATGTTTAAAAAATTGTTTCGTTTAATAACTTTTTGAGGATTCTCAGCCTGATATCCCGTGTCAGACATTTCTTAGAGACAGTTGAGACCTAACTTAATGCTCAATTAATGTTATTCTGTATGAGATTTGAAGTGATGATAGCTGTTCATCTCCAGGGTATACTTTACTAAATGATGGTTTACGAAAAAGTGACAATTAGTTAAAGAAATTGTCTTGGCATTGTTAGTTAAACCATTTGATGGAATTAACAAAAATGTATAGTGAGCTTCATTGATCACTAGGTTTCTTAGGAAGCTGAAGCTATTGGAAACTACGTAATATTATTAGACTTCTTCTCCTAGGACATGACTTGTTGGTTTAATAAAGTGGGTCAAGTTAAGTGGGTCACAAAAAGTGGGTCGAGTAAAGTAGGTCAACTTTAGTGGATCACACAAAGCGGGTCAAATAAAGTTAGTCAAGTTAAGTGGGTCAAATAAAGATGTCGGATAAAGTGGGTCAAGTAAAGAGGATTACATAACAAGTCAAACCCAACTGCTCCAAAAGTATCAGAACATGTTGATTATTATAATCATCTTAGTTTTGAAAGCGGCCTTTCTCTTCAACGTCTAGAAATAAAAAGTCAATGTGCACACATAATAAAAAGCCTATCTTAGAAAGTCTGGTGGCAGCAGCCTGTGCCCCACAGATCGTACATAGCTTTGAATTGTTAGCCAGAGGCTGGAAGTCTTCGGTCTGCAGATCTTTCGAGGATTTCGGATTTCAGCACATTACATCGTGTCCGTGAACAGTCGGAAGATGGGTTAGTGACTGTTGAATGCACAAGTCTGTATGTATGAATCAATCTCGCACGCTCAACACATACAAATAGTATTAAAACACTATAGTGAATGTAACAGCAAACTATTGAAATATATAGATCTGTATATATGATTATATCGATATGAATGTCTTGTCGCCTAGGTAACCCGATTATCATACAAGTACTGTATTTATCAATGAGAAATCTAGACGAGCAAATTTGAATCATAACCTTAATAAACTTAGTAAATTAACAAAGCTTTCCGTTGAAGTTTGTTTTTTTCTTTTAATCGCAAGTACAACAAATTGTTCACACAACGACAGACTTATAAGTTCTGTACAAAACATCGTGAAGCCTTATAGCCATAAGAGCTTTGTGGACATTAAACTATTAAACACACTTATTTAATTTATGCTAATTTTTAAAAATCTTTTCATAATTAATGTATGGGAAGTGTCTGGCTGGCGGCACATTCCGCTTGTCTAAACCTTAATTAAGAAAGGGGGAGGGGCGTGCTTTAGAATGTAGACTAAGAATTTCAATTAAGAATAGATTCTATCTGAGTTGTTTTTTTTCTGAGCGCAACTTGTAAACCTACTCTAAGATAGTCCCTCCCAAAGTCCACAAAAGAAATTGAATCAGAGCAATGTAAAAAAAAAAAGCAATAACAATAATAATAGCAATAATAATAAGGCTGAGAATCCTTTAAGAATCTCAATTATTTTATCTGAACAAAATGCTTGCTACTGACTAGATTAACACACGCATTGAAATAAACAGTTTAAAATAAAATGCGTTTGTTTTTATTTTCTGTGAGTGTAGTGGTTGTCTGTGTGTGTGTGTGTGTGTGAAGTGTGTGTTTTATTTTATATATGTGTAGAATTTTTGTGTTGGGAGTGTGTGCAGTGGTTTAATGGAAAAAAAATGCCTAGAGAAGGCTGCGTCGAGCTTCGCAAGAATCAGATTAAGAAGTAGAGGAAAACCGGAAGCTCAGTACAAAAGTTCAAAATGGAGGTCTTTAAGACATGTGTTAAGAGAGCGCTAAAGGATGGCAGTGAATCATGGACTACATAAGAATGAAAACTAAATCCTCTTCACTTATGCTGCCTCCGAAGGATCTTAAAAATCGCATGGCAAATCAGAGCATCTAGCATATTTAAATATTGAAATTAATATCTTCTCAAATATTTACAAAGCGCTGATTAAAATGAACAACGATAAAGGTCTAATTAATAAGAAATGAGCAAATACAACCAAACAAAACATGGATTAATCTCTACATCGATTGTCAAATAAACGCGTGCCAAACAAAAGAAAAAAAAGGCTGACTTCTCTACCACCAAAAGCAAAAGCCACCTTAACCTGGGATAAATGTGGACGGGAGTGTCTCTCCAAAATAGGGCTCCACAGTCACGTGACAAAGTGTGATAGGAGATTAACCAAAGTCTTTACGACTGAAGGAGGTCAACAATCCAAGTGTGTTGTACACTTCAACTTATTGCGTAAATGAATAATAACCTATACACATAATAAATCTATTTCACCTTCATTCAACTTTAGCATTGGCTTTGCAAAGAATGTGCATCTCCCTCATCGTAAGTATCACGTCTTTCATTACGATAGTAGATGCAATGTATTTGCACACCTCAGTCTAGCCATTAGCTCCTAAATATAGACATTAACACCTCAACTATAAATTCCAGATTAGACTCGTACTAAAGCCAGAACTCGAAAGGCGAAATTTAAAGATGAAACCCTCCCCCCCCCCCCCCAATATGCCCACAAAAGAGCTTGGACCATAACTAACTTTCTTTATGACCATGGAAGAGATGCTACATAAAGGCAACAATAATGTAGATAATGGTGATAATAATATTAATTATTACAAAAATTCCTAAGAATATGCTTACTGCCTGACAGAGGGCAAAACTGCTGCAAAACTGGACATCATTAGAAACTTCTTCAAGGAAACGTTAGAGGCGACGACAGTGTATCTGTTTCCCTTCAACGAATGTCAACCTTAGCAGCGTCTTAGACTGACTATAAGTTCAAATTTTGAATTTTTAACAAAATAATAACAACTAAACTCTAACCTCTACTACGATAATATTGACACTAAAGGAATGACAAGCGAAGAGTCAACTTGTCGTGTACAATGAGTCTACAAGTACAAAGGAAGTGTGCTATCTGACGATAAAGTGAACAGGCTAAAAAATAAATGACGCTAGGAACAAAGAAATAAATACGAAGTTAAGAACTATACATTTAATTCCCATAAACTAGATATTAAAATGTCAAAGAACTACTCTTGACAGGGGTTCCAAATATTGTAAAAATTAAGCGCATGTTCGATTGATCAAAACATTTGCGTAACAACGATATTTATTTAACTTGTAGCTTGTTACTTTTTGAGTTCACGAACAATGAGATCTGTGTTTGCTTAGTATTCTATAGAATACTTGATTTTGGTTGTGAGGAAAAAAAAAAAGGAGGTGGGTTATGACAAAAACTGAAATGACTAGCAAGAGAGTTTAGAAACCGACTTGTCATGCCATGATGGATGCTCTGCCTCACAAAGACCCACGGAGAACGGCTGTCAGCTTGTATTCTATATCGATGCTGATTGGCTACTCTAATTGCACGTATAAACAAATGCTGACATGGTGGTGCGGTGGTTAATGTCTCACACACCTGCTTAAAGTTCAGTCAATAAAGACAAACGAATCGTTGCTTTTTGTTAATTTTAAAGATGTATTCTGACTTATCTATATCTATCTATCTATCTATCTATCTATCTATCTATCTATCTATCTATCTATCTATCTATCTATCTATCTATCTATATATATATATATATATATATATATATATATATATATATATATATATATCATGGGTTCAACCTCCCCCTCTTGTTGGAATGTAGTGACTGATTTTTGGCTTTGATTTTGCTTATTTTGGGGGAGATTTTAATACTAAACCATCACTTGCCCCAGCGAAGCCAAGGGGGTTTTGAGTTTAAAACCCCTACCAGGGATTTTTGCAGTTAAACCCCCTCTACTAAAAAAATAATAATAATGCAAACGACAATACCTAAATTCCAAGAGCATTTCTAAGGAAGATTTTGATTTTTAAAACCCCCTCCGAAATTTACGACAAAACCTCCTCTTCACGATAAAATCCCTCTTCAATATAAGACTTCAATAATATATAATATTATTAATATTAATAATAATTAATATTAATACATTATTCAACAGATTCTATGAGTATAGCCAAGAGGAGTTTTGTCTTTAATCAATGTGACTTATGATATACTGCATGTAAATGTGTGTTTGTGTTTCACATCATTTTCTTTAATAAACTTTGGGCCGCTCTCGGAATTAAATATTAAGATTATAAATTCGCACCTAGTGATGTCAAGAGGAGTGCTAGAAAAAGATGATTGTCTTACCCACGAGAGAGGGGAGGGGTGGAGGAAAGTCAGGCAAGAGTATATACAAGGAGTGAAATGTGCCCAGAAGAGAGGGGGCGGGATAGGTGTCACAGGTAATGACCAGTCCGAAAGAGATGATAGCCAGACGCATGACGCCAACGACCAGTGCTCAGTGCTGGTTTTGTCATTTGTTTGACTTAACCTGCGTCATGGGGAGATGTCACCCAAATCACCCCTAACCCTAACCCTCCAGTGCGCTTAGCAGAACTCGCCTAGAATTAAAGGGGAAGGGATAGCATGTCATTTCCATTCAGGAATCTGACTTATTATATATTATTATTATATATTCATGAAATAAGCAAAACATTTATAAAAGGGGGAGGTTGAACCCATGATATATATATATTCTTTAAAAACAGATAAGTCAGATCGGAATTTAGTGACTGATTTTTTGCTACGATTTTATTTATTTTAGGTGAGATTTTAATTCTAAACCATCATTTGCCCCAAAACAACCAAGGGGGTTCGAGTTTAAAACCCCCTATTATGGGTTTGAGTTCAAAACCCCCTACCAGGGGTTTTTGCAGTTAAATCCCCCTCTTCTATAAAACAAAACAAAAAAAAATTGTAAACGACAATCCCCAAATTCCAAGAGCACAGTTAAGGAAGATTTTGATTTTAAAACCCCCTCCAAAATTTACAATAAACCCCCTCTTCAATATAAAAAAAAGCAAATTACACACTCAAAATTCTATGAGCGTAGCCAAAGGGGTTTTGAGTCCCCCCCCCCCCACTCTCTTTAGTAGGATTTGAAGCTAAAAAATACCTCTTCAATATAAAAAAAGCTAATTAGGCACTCAAAATGTTATAAGCGTAGCTAAATGGGTTTTGACTCAGTTTTGAGTTTAAGCCCCCTCCAGCGGGGTTTGAAGCTAAAAATACCTCTTTAATATATAAAAAAAGCAAATTACTCATTTAAAATCTATGAGCGTAGCCAAAGGGGTTTTGAGTTTAAACCCCCGCCAGAGGGGTTTGAAGCTAAATGATACATATTCAGTGTAAAAAAAAAAAAAGCAAATTACGCACTCAAAATGCTATGAGCGTTGCCAAAAGGGTTTTGAGTTTAAACCCCCTTCAGAGGGGTTTGATGCTAAAAAATACCTCTTCAATATAAAAAAAAAGCAAATTACACACTAAAATTTTTTGAGCGTAGCCAATCCTATTGGGGTTTTTAGGTTTAAACGTCTCTCCTACAGATGGCT